TAAATGTTTCATTTCAAGGAACTGTATTTAAAAACAGAAATAGCAGAACAGAGGAAAACAGGAAGACAAACTGAGAACTGATCTGAAAATAACAGTCTCACCCATCATGTCTCTAGTTGAAAACCTCACCAGAGGTGTGGGAGATTGAGTGTTGTCTCCTTTCCTGAGGTGATCTGAACACAGATCCTCCACCCAGGAAAGCCACAGGGTATATGCTGAGGTTAGGTAACTGATCTCTTCTGTGGTTTCACTTGTTTAAAGTAGCTAAACAGTCACATAAGCTCCCTTTGGAAGAAAAAGGAATTCACATCATTTTGGAAGGACCCAAATGACATTTTTCTACAAATTCAGTGTTGGGGCAGAGAATGCACTCAACTTGACTTTTCAGTATGATTTTGGCAATTCCCTGGAAACAGCTGTGCTCCCACTTCAGTGCTCTGTGGTGATCACATCTTTCAGTGGGCTAGACTGTGCCAGTATAAGAGAAGGTTACAGAGCATACATTTTGCAGGCTTTCTTTAACACTTTTACTTGTTACTTTTGACAAGGGTTCAGTATGTCCCATCAGAACTAAATTTTGTGAATTAAATTCACAAAATGAGATTAACTTCAGGGTCCGCTCACATGTACACAGTAACTTTTAAAAACACAAGCAACGTAATACTTTTCATTCAGCAACTAATCTTTCTGCAATGCACTGGAAGTATAAAGCACTACATAAACTCCAAGTAATGGTTCGAAGGATAAACAGTATCTTATCATTCACAACAGTTGTAAAATAATTCTCAGGTTGTAATACCAGTTATTTAACAATAATTTTTGCCACATGTATTTTTGATTGTTCATTTCCAGTACCTTTTCTTGAATAAAAGGTATGATCATGCCATCCTCAGGAGGGTCTTTTTTATAATTATTGTTCCAAAAAAAAAAATTTATTCAAATCTGGATACCTATTATGAGGCAATACTCTTTAGAGAAAAATACGTACTCACTACTGTGATTATTTGTGATATTTAACATCCAATTAATCTAAAACTGTATTTTATTTTATTTGCAATTATCACCTTTCAAAATAACAGTAAATACTAGATACTCTGTCAAGGATCTTCTGATACAAAACTAGCTTGAACTTTCAGTTCAGCCTGAAATATTTCCTGCTCAGCTTTGCTTCTTAAATTAAAAGAAATTTTATTCTCTTGGATACTAACATGGAAAGCAGGCAGAAAGATAAAAGTGCAGAAAACCCTGTCTTCTAAGCATGCAGACAGTAATAGAGCAATCTAGAACTGTCAAGAATATATTGACAAGAATAAAGAACAGCTCACATAGTTTTGATTTTGAACAAAATTAACTGCATGTAGATGTGCACTGGAAACAGAAAAAAGAAAATGTACCATTCCATCCATATCAAAATTCCCTTCTGCAAACAAAAAAAAAAAGCAGCTCCATTCCCAGCTGATTTGGTCCTGGTGATAGGCCTTTTTATCATAGATGTTTCCTCTTCTCCTGAACCACCTACTGATTTATTTCCTTTCCTACTCTTCTTCTATCCTGGCTTTTAAAATATTTTTTATTCATTATGAGAATAATTCCTTACTATACCAATACCCTAACCTGGAGGCAGGTTAGTTGCTTCCTAAATCCTAAGGTACCACCAGCAGAGCTGAAGCCCCTTCAGAGAGCAATATCCTGGTCACAACTGGGCTTGAAAACAACTATCACAAGTGAGAGGCAGTAGAAATTACTAAAAGGCTTCTCGAACAGTCTGAATTACAACATTTGTTTGGCCAGTGTGTAACAGCCTGCTGACAGCACTTCAGCATCGCATCCTCTCTTCAAAGAGCAGAGTTGAGCACTGGTGTATTTGGATCTGTTGCTGCCTTGACAAACATTCACACAGCCCCTTCATTTTGTGTAAAACAGAATAATGCAGCTGGCAGTGAGCAAGGAGCCCTCAGTAGCTCACAGCACAGATGAATGGAAGCCTCACTTCTACAGCAAGAACGGTCCAAGTACGTCCTGCAGCATCCGTCAGCTTAGAGCCTGTAATGGTCCAGCTCCAGTGGACACAAGTCCAGCAGAAACGTTATTATCTTTTCAAGACTGCCCATAGCATAGGATGCACTGGATCTACCTGCCGTACGCCCTATCACTACACCACTTACCAATCTGCAGCTCTGGGTACATTTCATACAGACACCAGTCGACGTTGCAGTCACAGTGGGTTTTCTCAAAGAGATTGTCTAAAACATCCCGTGTCACCTGCCGCTCATCCACCATTAGAGACTTTGTGCTGTTATCATACATGTGCACCTTGACAACAAGCTGTGTAGAGAGTCACAGAAGAGTCAGTTAATTTCAGAAGCAACTAAAAGGCTAGTCTGAATCTGCTAACACAGATAAGAAAGGTTAAGGCTGAAGGTTACTAATATTTCAAAGGCGCCCTGACCCACAGGGAGCTGAGGGAATAAAACAGCTTGGAAGCTTTCAGATTATATTGCCAGCAAAATCAAGACCATTACTCAAAAAAGGAAGCGGAGACTTGTCCTGTTCATGATTTCAGGAAAGGTGAAATTGCTATGGAGAAAAAAGTTAATCTCTTCTTTAAATCTACTAGATGTGCAAATAAGGAAAATGTTTGATGGGGAAACCAAATACAACATGACAGAGTGTCCTTAACGCAAGCTGGAAATGCATGAAGTTTAGTTTTAAATGTGACAAAGAATGGAAGAATCTTGCCGTGCCACCAAACTATCCTGAAATCAGATTATACTAAGATAGAAAGTAGTCCAACCCCAATCAACAAGCAAACAGATGAGTTACTTATATTGACTAAATTAACTTAAGACATGTTATTGCTTCATATTATGTAGTATTTGTTACACAAGAAACAGCATGCGCTTTTTTTCAGAAAGGAGCAATGCAAGAAAATGCTGAAGTACATAAAATGTGATAAAGAACTGCAAATATATTATAAAGCAAGTACTTAAAATGCTCCATTAGTACTGAAACAGAGGAAAAATTGTCTACAGGATCTGTGCATGGAAACTTGAACTAAACCGGTGACCTGGGAAGACTTCTCCATACAGTCTTGTTCAAATAGTTCCTTACTTTAAAATGCATGCATAAGAAGCTTTAGTACTACAGAGACAACCTCTATTAAACTGTATCAGGTAGAAGCAGAGAGTGATGTTCCCCAAGAGAATATCTACAAGCAAATGTAACAAAAAAACCCATTAATTTGCTTTCATTCCAACCCTTGTAAGAATCTTCCCCTCTAGAATAAGCAACTGAGCCACAGTGCAGATTATAGAGAAAAATAAATGTTCTACATGCACAACCTACAATATGTCTGGGGGGGAAAAAAAGGGCATTTTTGTCTGATCATAGTTGACTGCTCAGAAACATGCATGCAGTTTCCATCTTCATAGAATGGTTGAGATTGGAAGGGGGCTCTGAAAGTCACCTGGTTGAATCCCCTGTTCAAGCAAGGCCACCTAAAGCCCACTGTCCATGACCATGTACAGATGCCTTTAGAATATCTTCAAGGAGGAAGACTCCACAACCTCCCTAGGAAGCCTGTGCCAGTGCTCAGTCACCCTCACAATGAAAAACGTTTTTCCTGATGTTCAGCTAGAATCTCCTGTATTGCAGTTTGTGCCCATTTCCTCTGGTCCCATCACCGGGCACCACTGGAAAGAGCCAGGCTCTTTTCACCCTCCCTTCAAGCATTTCTACAGAATGACAAGATCTGTCCAGAGCCTCCTCTTCTCTGAGCTACACAAGACCCAGCTGTTTCAGCCATTCTTCATAGGAGAGATGCTCCAGTTCCTTTAACATCTTTGTGGCCCTTCATTCATTGGTATGGAACTCTCTTGAGCTTGGAGGAGGGGATCCTTGAATATTAACCAGTTTTCTTGGGCCCCTCTTCCCCTCCAGGACCTTATCCCATGGGACTCTTCCAAGCAGATCTTTGAAGAAGCCATAGTCTGTTTTCTTGAAGTCCAGGGATGTGAGTCTGCTTTTTTCACCATCCTCCCTGGCTTTTGCCCTCTGCTTTCAGTAAAAGAACTATTATAGTTCTTGACAATTATTTAGTAAGTTTAGAATTCCAGAATGACACAGTAATTTCATTATAGTGGTATAGCCAACCAAAGATTAAGCCTTACTTCTACCCTGTGGTTCAAATATTCAGGGTGGAAAAAAAAAGTGGGGAAAAATAATGCTTCAAAATAAGTGTTTTCTCCCAAATACGAAAACTACTAATGTTGCAAGGAAAAGAGAGTGACCAATGAGCAGTCATAAGTTTAGTTACAGAGCTTTTCAAAGACAACACTGGTGAAATCCTCTCAAAACATTCTCTCAGAAGCAGCATTTGTACATGAAGGTAAAGTGTCCTCTGGAACCATCTCAAGTCTGAACACTCTCAAATTTATTGGAACCTTCAGTTCTTCTTGGAAGCCCTGCAGGCTCTGATCTCCACCACTTCCCAGCTCCTGTCTGAGCAAGAGTGAAAGTTTTTTTCTTCACATTCATTTTTCAGAGTTACTGAACATCTGCAACTTCTGTTGAGTTCAGCTGGAACACCAGCTTAGGACGAATGGGCATAATTACATGACACACTGCAGCACTATGCAGACACTGGCTGGAAGCTTCCTAATTTGTTGGTCTAAAATAATTTCTATTATCCTTGTACATTACTACACTGCTGTGAAAAGATTTAGCAAGAAGACTCTCATTAATTTAATTTGGATTAGTTAAATCCACATCCACTGTAGAACAAAAGTTTAATACTTGTAGAGTCAGCACAGCGTAAGTAAGCAACATTCTAGCGTACATTCCCCATTCTCTAAAGCACCTTATCGGAACAATGGCTTTGCCCCAACGCTGGGGAAAGAAAAAAAAAAACAAACAACAAAAAACAAAGCAGCAGAACCTTCCAGGCCCTCTTAAAAGTAAGTTCCTCAGAGGCAGCATTCTCCCAGAGACTTCTCTTCAGGCAGATGACAAGACAGCTCCAAAGACGCTCTTTAGATGTCTCAAGTTACAGACCAAATATGAAAAAAGCCTAGCAATTTTATTAAGAAATTTTATCACTGAGAAGAATGGCAATAGATACTTAGCTAGTGGCTCTTGTGGTAGCATTTCAGTATTTTAAGGCTCACCTTTTTAACTTTGGCTTCCTTCAGTTTCTGCAATGCAAGTTTAATCTTGTCAGCTTTAGCCTGTGCCTCTCGTTCTTCCTGAAAAGACACAAGACATTTAATATATTTCTTGTTAAGTAAAGCCAGCAATTTATGTTTACTTTAAATGAATTGTTTCATGTTATTTATCCAGTACATGTGGCTTGTCATGGGAAACTTCACAGTTACAGGGAATGCCCAGCTTTCCTTGAGCCAATATCCTCCAGCCAAAGCTTTGCTTTACAAGTCTGACACTTCCTTTAGTTGCCCAGTCATACAGCTCTTACATGATCTGTTCTAAAATGCTACAGGAGTGGCTGAAAAGTGGCCTGAAAACCAGATTCTAAGTTTCCATATGGGTTACAGCAGATACAAAAGAGATGATTAAGAAAGATCTAGCCTGAACAAAAGAGCCCTGTGGATGCAGCCACTCGGAAGAAAACTCACCTCTCAACAGGGTTAAGAAAGCTAGAGGTTTCAGGAAACCCTGACTTGCGATTATATCACTTATGATTTTACACTTTTTGTTAAATATATTAATTTACTTGAATTCTTTCACTTGTCACATCCGAGCTCTTCCTGCATGCATACTTACCAAGAGGAACACTTCCTTAAATCTGATGATATCATGGCTTTTTATTCTAGTTACGGACCTATTTGTATTGACACAGACACAGTTAGAACCCTCAAGCTCACTCTAGCTTTTGCTGAATGTCACAGTGAAATTCCTAAATACCTCAGTGTCACTTGGCTCTTTTACAAAGCACCTGTACCAAAGTCATGTTTCTCTCTTAGTATCAGTGAGGTTTGTGATCAAAGAAGATGCAGGACCCCAGCTGCTGAGAGTTTTAGGTACATGTCCCAGATGCCAGTGTTGCCTCTGTGACTGCTGTACAGAATGTGACCGTTTCTTTTTGCCATCTATCGTCCAATAGTCTCCCCGAGTCACATAGAGAGTTGGAAAAGTACATTTTGGATAGCAAGTTACTGTAGTTTCTGGGCTGGCCTTGGACTGTTAGTACTACTGGAGGGTTTTGTTTCTTTTTCCTGCTCCTCCTTTTGAAAACTGTAGTGTCTTTGCTTCCTTGCCTCTTCTCTGTTTTCTACTATCCCTGTTACACTCTCTCTTTTTTGCAGTTGCTTTTGTTTCCAAAAGATGGGATTTTTTTGCTACAATGCTCTCAGGGACACTCAACTTCCAGTCAGTGACTGTGGGAGAAAGTTCCTGCCCTGCTTCTATACATGATTTTTCTCTATGTTGCCTTCAGTCTCCATTTTCTATCCTAAAGTTGTAATTTTAGTGGTCTTTGGACTAAGAGAAACCCAGGATGGCTGTAACTCATGGGAGATGCACTAGCAAGAAACTAGGCCTAACTAAGCATTGCCACCACTTCGTTCTTACAGAGATATCATAGAAGCACAGTCAAAAAAAAAAAAAAAAAAACAGCTAAGAAGGTTATCTTATTCATCCCAAGCTTTGAGGCAGGTTTAACTGTAACTAAAGCACTCCTGACTGACATCCCCCTCACTGAACTAAACACCTTTTGTTTTATCACTGGATATTAACATCCTTTTTGATGTCAAAAATACAAGGTGAGGTGTGCAACCTGAAGGAGAGAGCTACAAGCATGTTTGCTCTTGTTAAATTCTTCACTACAAGTACCAAACAGTCAGTTAAAATATGTTTGGATTTTTTCCTCCACCAGTATGGAAATCTGCATTGTTACAGCACAGAGATGCTTTATTCTGAGAATCCCAAACCAGCTTCTGTAGTTGACTAGAAGCTGTCTGACAAAAGTAGCTTTCACAGTAAGTCTGATTGTTCTACAGAGGGAAGAGCACACAGCCTCTCACACTATGTCCCTCCCATACCATCTCAAAAAAGACCTCTCTGCAGGAAGCAGGAAAAGCATCTTAACCAAAGTGGTTATGTGTGATGTGGGCAGGCTTTCTGCTGCAAGTTACAGGCAAGTATAACTCAGGTTCCACCTGAATTAAGCCTGTGTTGAACAGAGTTCACACATTGTACAAAGTTGTGCAACAGAGCTCTCACCTGAGAGCCTTCATGTTTTCATAACCTTTATCTGTCTAAATGTAGAAAAAGGAAATGCTGCAAAGTAAATAAACTATCAGATGCAAAATTTTAGTACTGTTAAAGAATTGCTTTGACAGGCTAAAAGATTTGTTTTCCCACTACAGTATCATCACCGTGGTTTCTGGACCTTCAAATGGAAGCACACAGAAGTAATCCAGATAATATCATAGAAGATGTAGAAGCCTTACTTAGCTTAAGAACAGTTTTAAAAAGAAACATCAGAGTTGATGGGAACTAACAAGACAGCTCTATGAAAGAAAGAATGTACTGCTTAATTGGGGTACGCTTAAAGGTCAGGGAACAGAGTCTTAGTATCAGAGGTCTATATTCTTATTTGACTGTAGACAATCAAAAGTGTTAAAATATCAGCCTTGATTGGCTCAAAAATCACTGATCAAGAACACTGGCTAACAGGAATGGGGACTTTGATGAAAGAAAATACATTCCATTTATAGCTGCATTTCATTCTACTGAGCAGAAATGTCATGTTGAAGCAAATGCTAACCAAGACAGTAAATATGTTTTTAATTTGAAATCAGTTCTTTCGATATTAATTTTAAGTGGTTATTACCTCTATCACTCACACTGCAACTTGTGCAATAGCCCTGAAAGCAATTTTTTGGCCAGTAAGCCACACCAGTACTTCAATACAACCTGTATCAGAAAATGAGGCAAAGGCTGTGGGAGAAGGCAGAACCAGTGCCTTAATGAGGAAATCAACCACTGCAGACAGATGCCTCAGAAATGCCTCTGCTTCTTGTTCCCACCCTTCTCTGCCCTCACCATCTGGAAAGAGACCAGAACACACTCCTGGGGAATTAATTCAGCACACAGTCTCAGAAAAACACTTTAACTGAGGGAGACAGAAGTGACTTCCAGCTATGATTTTGCATATAGAATTCCAGTTGTGTTTAGCAAATATCTCCTTTTCACTCTGAAATCTTGTTTGACCCTCGGGTAATGCAGGAAGCCAGCTCACAGAGAATTAGCTCAGTACAAGACTCAAGGGAAAGAACTGTGCAGTACTGTTCATTTCAGCGAGCTTGAGATCAGAGCATCATAAGAGTGCTGAAAGAGAGGTCTGGAGGTCCATACTTGCTCCCCACCCAAAGCAGGACTGTCACCAACACTAGATCAGGTCAGCCATGATTTTGCCTGGCAAATGTTGGAAAACCTCCAAAGAAAGTGAATCTCTGATCTCTGTGGGTCACCTGAGCTCTCCCTGGGTCCAGCACTACACCACTGCCTGAAAAGGAAACGGTTTTCCTCGTTCCCTGTCCAAAACTACAAAGCCACAACAGGTATCTATTGCCTTTTGTTACATGACGCAGCACTACCATGGGAGAATTTGGCTTCACTGGTTCTGCAGTGACCCTTCAGGTATTTTTAGACTGTCATTAAGTCTCTTGCCAGCCTCTGTCAGACTACACAAGCGCAGCTCCCTCAGCCTCTCCTCGCTGGCCCCTGACCACTCCACACCCCTGGCCATCCCAGCAGCATTCTGCTGGACACTCTCCAGTATCTCCACATCCAGGACAGGGTGTAGCATACCAGGTGTGGCCTCACCAGTGCCAAGAGAAAGGAAAAACAGCTTGTTTAGTCTGCTGCCCATGCTCCTCCCAACACAGGCCAGTTTCCCACATTGAGACGACCTTGCACTCATGGCTCTTACTCGCTCTGGCATCCACCAGGATGCCATCTCCTTTTCAGCAGGGCTGCTGCTCTGACTGTTGCCTCCCAAACCATACAAATGCATGGGGTTATTCCACACTGCAAGGTGCAGGACCTTGTGCCTTGCTGGGTTTCTGGGGGTTTTGCTGGCCCAGTCTTCATGTTTCACAAGGTCCCCCTGCTCTGAAGTTCTGCCATTTGTCTTGTCAATTAGTGCTCTTAATGAAAAGCATCTTCAGCACATCTGCAGATGATTTTTTTATGTCATCACTCTGGTCACAGATGAAAATGCTAAAGAATACAAGCCCCAGTGTTGATCCTACTTGTTAAGAGCCAGCAGACCATTGATTCCTACCCCCTGAGTCTGGCAGTTTCGCCAACCTCAGCCCATCCAGCCAGCTACCCTTCCAGACCACACCTTCTCAACTTCCAAACCATACTATTTAGCTTAGTACTTTCTCAAAGGCCATGAGCCTAAATCAAGATGAGGACATGTTTGTAGAACAATGGATAGAACTTAACGTTGATAGCATCTCCTCTATATATTACACTAGTTACATAAAAGACTTCAGCTTCTGAAGCTGTCTAGCTGCTGTTTTTGAAAATTTTGATATTCCTTTAAGATAGGAAGTTAACTGTTATCCTTGAGATACAGAAAAATGGCAAAGTTCCTTCCATGTCCTTACAACTTTCACTCTTCAACCAGCACTGAAAGTTCCTATGCACCAAATGAATCTTTATCTACTGAATCACTTTTTGTATAATCAGAAAGTCCTCTTCCTATGAAATTTTCTGGTTGTTTTGCTAAATATGTCTGCTGTATGATGCTAAACAGAGGGGCAGTAGTGATGTTGAAATAACTCATATTAAGTTTGCACGGACATTTGCACTGCAATGAAATGGCCATAGTTTTAAGCAAAACCAACCCACAGAGTTCTCCATGGGCCAAGAGAGCACTTTTCATGTTCCCTAAAATCTTTCCACTCCCTAAATGTAGACACCTTCTCTCCGCCACATTTAGTATGTATAAGGATACTGAAAGAGATTAGATGTTTCATGGTTTCAGATTTTTTTTTCCTCCAGATTCATCACTCCTCTAATGCACATACCCTCCTGTGAGCTCTGACAGGGCAGAATCCTTACATTATCTCCCTCTCCACATCCTCATGTCAAAGAAATGAACTTCTAATGCTTATACTAGAAATATGACATTTGGTTTCAATTGTTAAAGCAACTCCGCAAGAAACAGAAACATGGAGGAGGTTGTGATAAAGCTGAAATTTTAGTTTACAGGTAAGTCAACTGTTCATAAATAGTACCTACTGATAACTTTGGCACCTCCTAAGTAAAGAGTATTTGTCCTATATTGCAGAGGGTCTTCATTAATTCCCTTCAAGGATAAGACCAAGAAAAGTAGAGTGATTCTGTGCTGGGATTAGCAGAGGCACTTCCTGTGCTCAGCCTTGCACCCAGTCTCCTAGCAAATGTTGAGTTTTACTCAACTGAAAAGCTTTTCCTATTGCAAGAAATCAATTAGGCCATGGATGGATGTGGGAAACATCCACAGAACTGTCTCATCGGTACCAATAACACAGGCTGCAATGAACTAACAGTGACATCTTCACGGCATCTTCAGGCATGGTTTGCACTGATGGCAAAGCAAGTGCTCTGTGAGAAGGTATTAACTGATGCACACTTATTAAAAAAAAAAAATTCAGTGACAAGTTTTCCATTACAGTAAACCAACTGCAATGATTTATGCCTATCTTGGGCTATCAAAATTATTATTAGAAGGGCAAAGGAATGGGCAGCAGGCCAAGGAACAGACAGAAATTGCTGAGCCCACACTAAGAGAAAACTCTCACTACACAGTTCATGCACGTTTCATCACTGCAGAACATTATCAAGATGTTTCTACCCGGGATATCCGCTTCTGTTCCAATGCCAAATACCACCTGCAAAATTACAAGAACTATTGAACACTTAGAACAAGGTTCCATCCAGGCTTACCTGGGTGAGTGGTTCAGGAGGAGGAGGAGGAGGTGGTGGTGGAAGGTCTAGATCAGGGTCTGGAGGTGGAGGGGGCAAGGCATCCTCAAACTGTCCAGTGATGGTAACATAGGAACTTGATGATTTAGAATATATGTCACTATCCAAGTCTGTTGAAGGCTGAGCAACCATACTTTGCTGGTTGCCAGAAGTTTTCTGGGCTTGTAAAGTTTTCTGTTCAACATCATTTATGTCTGCTACAAGATCTGCCATTAAAGCATCAAGGTCTTTGTCCTCTAGGGCACTTAAAGATTCTGTAAAGAAAACCACAAAATGTGTCAGAGTGCCATATAAAACACTACATTTCCAGGTCAGTGGAATTAAATTGCAGAAGGCATGTTTACTGTAAGATATAAGGGTTATGGGAAAGGAAACAACATTTTAAATGAGTTCAAGAAATAAATGTGGTTTAGGAAGAGCCATTAATCTGGTCACACTGAAGTTCACAGTATAAGGAACTCTATGAATAAAAATTAAACAGAGCAGGAAGCTTCACTTTCTGTAACACATTCTCAGGCCCGCATGATGTTATGAAACCTGGCCCTGATCCAGCAAAGTTTCTGGGCACATCTTCAGTGATACGGATGCAAGAAATTCCATTAGCTCCCGTTAGGCTACTTACTTAAGTATATATATAAACTCTTAGCAAGTTTTGGTGTAGCACACAGCAAACTGTGTAACTGAGGCCTAGGCCAAGAATATCTTCATACGTTACTACTATTCTACAACTCTAAAATTAACATGAAGCAGAATCAGAGTTCTAAGACACAGGAAATTGTATGACGCCATTTGTAGCACATTAGTAATTGTATGATCAACGTCTGTGACATAGTTCATGTAATATGCAGGGGTTTGAGGATTCTTTAAGCAAAGAACAAATAAGATGGTCTCTTTTCCAAAGTATCTTATCAACCAGATAAGAATATTATAATTTTGCTTCCTGTCTTCTACTCTGTCAGAGGATAAGATAAAATCCTATAATGGAACTTCATGTGCAATTTCTTCTTTGGTTGTTTGAACTAGACATAGCACGAGAGATCCCGTGGAGTAACATCCCATAGGATGATTTACCTTTCTAGAAGAGAAGAGTTCTTTAAAAACCAACAGATTCAGTGGTTTAAATCTTTTTCAAGATTCTCGCTTAAAAAAATAATTAAATCACAAATTGGGAAAGCTTTAAGCAGAAAATTTTGGAAAGAGGTGTAAAGTGCTGAACTAGACACTCAAAAATGTTAATATAGTCCAACAAAGAACAGAACATTCATCAGACTAAGTGTGAACATGTCATGAGATCATCTCAATTTACTCTGCTTTACCTGTTATGCTAATACAGTATTTTCATAAGCTTTTCTTTTCACTGGGAAAGCTGGCTTACGATCATCTCTATTTACATACCTCTACCCACTTTGCTGGTAGAGGCATTTGGTAGCTTAATAGTGAACTGATTCTGGGACAAAAACACAGGTTAAAACTAGGCTAATGCACAGGCGGACATTTGGCACAAACATTTGCACAGGCTAATGCAAACAACCAGCCCCCAGTAAGAATAAAAATAAAAAAATAGCAATCAAAATCAAAGAGGGTTGTCTTTTTACACTTGGATAAATTTGGTATGTCAGAGCCTCAACAAGCAGCTGTACCTGCAAAACTGACAGTGCAAGCCAGAAGGGGAATAAGCAACATAACGTGGAAGCAGTTGAGGCTGGTACTTCCACTCAACAAAAATACTTATCCAGCTCTGACCTAACACTGAGGAACTTTGTCTTCTATTTAGATAAATCTTTACCTTAAAAAGGTTGCTTTTTAGAAAGTTATCTGGGTGACTTCTCTTTTCTGTTCTCCTTTACACTCAGACATTTTAAAAAGCGTGACACCTACATAAGACTGATGAACAACCCTCTAAAAATAAACCTGGCCCCTTTGAACTTTCCCAAATTGAGACAGACAAATATACCCACCCTTCCAGAAACACAGGGTTGTGTTGTTGTTGTTTGGGGTGTTTGGTTGGGTTTGGTTTTTCACTTTTTTTTTTTGTTTGTTTGTTTTTGTTATTGTTGTGGGTTTTTGTTGTTGTTGTTTGGTTTTTTTGTTTTGCTTTGTTTTGTTTTTTCCTTTCTTTCTTGTTGTTGTTGTTCTGGGTGTGGGTTTTGGTTTGGTTTTTTTTTGTTTGTTTGTTTGTTTTAAATCAAGGGTGTTTTAAGGTTTTTTTCTCATTTGTTGCTGTGAGGTATTTTAAATAAGCATAAAAAGCATGAAAGAGACCATACAGCTACTTACCATTTAAATCTTTAAAACCAACTGTAAAGCTAAACTCATTGCTGGACACTTTGGGGGATGGAGGTTGTACAGTCTCTACTCCTAAACTCTGTTAAGGAAAAAAACAAACAAGTGTCTAATGACATAATTACTATTACACATATTAACATTTGTTAATTAATTACCTGCACTTGTCTAATTACATTGATTCTTCTTTAAGGAAGAGAATGACACACACTAGCACTGGTAAACTGGCCAGGACAAGGGTACTCAGAAATAGCATAAAAGCCCACTTCTGAATTTGCATTTATTTTTCAGTCTTGTTAGGCAATATGAAGGCATCTGTGTGCTTCTATCCTTTACACTTCCTTCAGGAACAGAAAGATTGGTAAAAAAGGGTGAAAAACAACCTAGTCTCATTTGGGGAATTAAAAGTCTAAAAGAATTAACAGATGCAAGTCCGTTAACTGAAAGTCTTCAGCCCATACAAGGCTGAGGTAAGAGGGGATGCCAACACTTTAGAGAGGAGTCAGTCTCCATCCTAGGAACACATCCCATCTCACCCTGGATCAATAAGCAGAGAGAGAAGAGATTCACTCTCTCACCTTCTTCCCATCACCTGCACTCATAACAGTGCTATGTCAAATCTGAGGAGGTAAAATTTATCACAAGCAGACTTTTGTTAATTTTCAAGGCATAATAATGAAATTAAACTACCCTAAACCCCTCCTTCTGTATATTCATACGTATATTAAACAAATATGCATGGTCATAAGAAGCCCCTAAAAGGCAGAAAGGCTACCAAAGGGCAAACAATTGTGATTTGACAGCTAAGAATGTCATGTGACATCTTGGTTTTCCCATAGTTTAAACACAATTCCTATTCTGTGGCTTGAAATTACTGATATTTAATTTGGAAAGCACTGGGATTCACCAAGAGGAAAGACCTCTCAAAACAGTGGCTATAAGCAATCAAACTCACAGAATCCAATCTGGCAGCTTAAGTGTTTTCAAGCACGCATTTATTAAAGTACAACAAATTTACTGACTATGTTGGAGTTTTATAGAAATAAAACTTCCCCTTTCATCAGGTTTTGCAGAAAGTATTCCACGACTATAGGTTGTAGAAATAGGCTCATGCTGGTTTATAGTTTCAAGAGTATTCTGCACTGGCAGCAACGTCTCTATGAATTACGGAACACCACCTTAGCTGTAACTTCATATTTTGCCTTATTTAAAGATTACTTTTATGAATTCATTCAAAACATTGCTTCCATTTCCAAAGTTTACATTTGACACTCAGGCTACATCACATTTACCCATGTATGCAAAGTATTCATAGCTTCTGATGCAAACTCTTCCTAATTTGACAGAAGCTTTCAATTTCCTGGGAACCAGTCCAGAGGAATTTTTTTGAGAAAGAATCTTTCATAAGAAGTTAGCTCTCTTTAACAATCCAACCTGCACTGATGTTACCTTATTCGTCAGGCCACTTGTTTTAAATGTCAAGCAAAGAAGTTTAGTTGAAGGTTTTTCAAAACAAGGTATCTGTATTTATTCAGAGTGGAGGTATGTGAGAAATACTTTCTAACACGTAATACCTATTTTTCTAATCTTGATGTAAGAAAAGAATTGTTTACCTGGGTCAGCATGTCCATCTCCCCAAGCAAATTGCTGAACATTTCGTCTATATCATCACATGTTTGCTCCATCTGAAAGAAAAAATCCAGACAAGAAATCATCACAAGTTTATTTCAATTCCAGAAGTGGTCAAAACCAAAGGATATGCAACATTCTCTTATATTGTGCTCCCAATTAACTTTGAAACAACTATTCGTGACTTGTAGAAACCTCGATCCATAGTTTAGAAATAACTACTAACTAATTAGAATCTTGATCCTCTCTATGCTTAAATGAACACTTGGGCTCTACGCTCATTAGGAGTTCACCAGCCAATAAACCATAGTTGTACCTTAAACATCAAAGAAATGTAGCTAGTAAGAGATGGAGAAGGAAACAAAGTTTGAGGTTGAGAAATTCCTGAATGCTTCATCTTGAAAGCTTTCTTTGGCTTAAACACAAGAGTATATTAGGTGTTACCTAGCGCAGGACTTGGTTATGGTTAGGTACATGACCAACTTTTTGTCCCAGTAATTCTCCCTATTTTCTTACAAATGCTAGTGCACTGAGAGAACTCCGGTCTCAACCTCAAGAGATCAATGAGAAAGGAAAATGGGTACACGCTGAATGACAGTAAATGGTGGCCCTTCTTGCAAGAGGGACGTGTAAAGACAGCACCACACACTGGTGGTGCTGAGACACTGGGGAGATACAGCTTCTGTAACAAACCCCTTCCTCCTTCTCATAAATTTGTTTCTTTGCAGGGAGAGCAGTAGTGTAAAAGGGTGTGTGACATGGAACACTGCAACAGTCAAGAACTATAAACATCATTTTCTTAAAAGGCTCAAGCCTGCAAGGGATTGAGAACTCTGGTACTAATTGCATAAAACTAGGGCTCAAAATAGGGTCAAATTTTAAAAATATAAGTCCTATTGGTCCACGGGGTTTGTGCACACCTGTACTGTGTTTATGCAGCAAGGTTTTGGCAGCTAAGGGTTGCAGGGGTGGATTCTGTGAGAAGACACCAGGAGCTGCCACCATGTCAGAGAGACACAATAGTTCCAGCTGGCTTCAAGATGGATATGGTGCTGGCCCAAGCTGAGGCCATCAGCAACAGGGGTGGCACCTCTGCAGCAATATATTTAGGAGTAAAAAATGTAAGAGAGGAGTGAGCAAATGTGAGACAAATAGCCCTACAGACACCAGGTCAATGAAGAAGGACAGGGAGGAGCAGCAATTCCCCTGCAGTGTATGGAGGACCACGCCGGAGCAGATATCCACGCTGCAGGCCATGGAGGACGCCACACCAGAGCAGATGGACATGCCCTGAAGGAAAGTTGTAGGTCATGGTGTGCCCACGCAGGAGCAGGCTTCTGTCAGGAAGAGCAGCCTGTGAAGAGGAGCCCACACAGAGCCAGTTTTCTGTCAGGACCTGTGACCCCATGGAGCAGTCTGCTCCTGAAGGACTGTACCGTGTGGAAGGGACCCCTGTGGGAACAGTTCTTGAAGAACTGCAGCCTGTAGGAAAGTCCCGTGTTGGAAAGGTTCAGGAAGGACTGTCTCCCATGGGAGGGCCCCCCTTCTGGAGCTGGGAAACAGTGTGAACAATGAGTTGCAGAGACAAAGCATTATGAACTGACCACAATCACCATTCCCAATCCCCCTGTGCCACCGTGGGGGAGGAGGAGTGTGCCACTTGAGGGGGAAGAGGCTGAAGAGCTGGGAGTGAACCTAAGCCTGCGAAAAGGGAGGGGTGTGGTGAAGATGTTTTACTTTTGTTCTTATTTCTCATTATCCTACTGTCTTATTAGTTTGCTATAAAATTAACTTAATTGCCCTACACTGAGCCTGTTTTGCTGAACTATAATGGGTAAGTGATCTCCCTGTGCTTATCTTGACCCATTAACTTTTCCATTGTATTTTCTCCCCACACCCTCGTTCTGCTGAGGAGCAACCGAGCAGCTTGGTGGGAACCTTGTGGCCAGCCAAGATCGACCCACTAGAGCACCTTACAGGATGAGGAACAACCTGATGCAAGAAGCCAATCAACTGAAAACAGGAAGTTATAGTCTAATGACTATAAAGACTGGCAAGAAAAGAAGGCCAGCAAGTACCCTGTTCTTCAGTCTTAACACTTTCCTTTTAACAGCAACCTGAGTCACGTAAGTATTTCATAGTCAAATGATAAAGGCCACTGAACCACTGAAGTCAGTATCTGTTGTTTGAGAATTATATGGCAGTATATCTTTCACATGATACTAACTGGTGCAATCTGAGTTACTTTGGCTCCTTCACTTGGTCTTTCTGGCATCTACATAAGCAGGACAACCCTAATTTCCACTTGTCTCCTTAGTACCTGTGTTATCCCTGATACTCATTAGGAGGAGGCATCTATAGCTCTCATCAATCAGGCTCAGTGCATATTCTACCTGCTTTAGACACTTTTTGTAGCTGGAGTAACTAAACAAGGCACAGGCAACTGGGAACTGGACTTTGAACATCCGCAGTTCCCTTAGATTTCATTAATCAAAGACTTAAAGATTTGGGAACTGGATGCTGTTAAAAACATTTCAATTAGATGTGAGTGGCAGGGTTGAGGGTAACCCCAGCCCAAGGCTGGTGATGGCCCAGCTATGCCCACTTAAGAGGAACACATCACACATGACTGAGCAAATGGCGAGCTGAAGTCATCTCATCTGCTTCATTTGCAGCTGACAAACCCACGTGGGAAGACTCACTCACTCTGCATGTATCACAGTTATCACATGGAGATTTCTATATAAAATTCCATTCCTATAGATTCAGCAGCATAGTGTCTGGGTAAATGATTACTGAATCTTCATGTATTTGAATCAACAGCTGTGCAACATCCCACACACCTGGCACTTGGAGAATCAATTTTCATAAAAAGGATAGATAAAATGTCACTTATTTGATCAGGCAGAATGAAGTCAGAGTAGTTATGTGACAAAAAAATGGAGCTGCAGTTCATACTGATAAGCATCTCATCAGTGCTTTAATAATACTCAGTAATTTTATGTTTTCCTGTTTTGTCATTTAGAGGAACAAAATATCTGCTGGGGGAATCTTATCAGCTCTAGCCATTCGTATGTTTTTGCAGGTTTTTATGCACTGGCTAATTCTACTTCCAGGAAAAAGTGTTCGTGCTGGTTCCTTTGACAAAATGAAATCCTGGTTTGTCATATTTTTCCAGACTAGAAATATAAAAATGGCCAAAAAATTACTCTTCAGTCACAACCAGGAGACCTTCTCAAGAGGAGGAGTAAGAATTGTCTAAAAAGGGAAAAACACCCCACCTAAGAACACTCTTCTGAAGTTAACATAAAGAAAAGGGGGCAAGAGAACTGATTATTAGATTATACAACATTTTTACTAAATCATAGGACTTTTTCAGGTTCTAGAAAATGTAAAGCTTCTCTTTGCAATTATATAATTTTCTGATTCTTTGGAAACATTCTATTAATAAGGAAAATAGTGTAATCCTATGAAAAAGCAATGTGCAAAGAATTCTTTAAGAATTTCCACTGTAAATTGCAGCTGAGTTAGTCACTGATGACTTTTCCTTATCAATTCAAATAGATGACATGTATACTAAGGGGTTTTCAACCTTAAGCATATGGGGGAAGAGAGGAGGCTTGAACATACACTTTGAGAAGGAAATACATCAGCGTCCCTTTCAAGTGCCACTTTCAATGAGCAGACATCCATCATCATCACCACACTGATAAAGCCATGTTGTCACCAAGCCACTGCCCCTACTGGTTTCTTTATTTTCTCTTGAATTGCTATTGTTTCCATTTAAGAAGACAAAATTAACATCATAATCACCAAACACCATGAAAATATTTATGTTAAAACGCACTGAATGAGCTCTTAAACAAATATGAGAACTCTCCAAATTTATCAAGGATTTTGGCAAGAGTTAGAAAAGCGTAAGACAGTAAAATGAGTTCCCAAACATGGAACTGCAGAAGACTGTCCATCCACTCTCCTCCTTTTTGACTCCTCTCCACAATCACTTGCATTTCTTTTACTCAATTGCTGGAGTAGGAACAGTAAAAGCAACATGCACATTTGAGAACTATCCCATTCAAGGAAGATGTTGCTGCGTTTTGGACCAGCAAGTTCTTTTGCACCTTTTATATATGGCCTTGAACTTATTCAAACCAGAAACTCAATATGAAACCTACAGGTGTACGAGCTATTATTAACAAACAAGAGGAAAATATTTACCCAGAAGAATATTGAGTTTCGTACTCAGTCCTCCTCTATATCCACTAAACAGTAACTTTCCTGTTAGGTTTTTCTGTATACAGTACTAATACTAGTAACTCTTAAAATCACTATCACTTACAATGAACGCAAGAGGCAAAAAAAGGACAATAATTTTACAACAAGTTTCCCATGTTATTCGTAAGATTTTAAGCAGAGAAAAAAAATCAGAATTAAAATAAAAAGAGGAAATTGCGGTTGTCAAGAATAAGCATGCTAAGGAGGGCCTTGTGGGAAGGCATACATATGAAACCTAACCTATTTTTAAAGCGATTGATTTTTAAACAGATGTCCCCTAGACCATTTTTTGAAGTAACACCAAGCACACAGAGAAAGGTATTCCTTATTTCCCCCAAATTTCACATTCTCGAATCTTCACTGAGATCTCACGAAAACATCATTCTAAATTTTGATTTTAAATACTCCCATGTTTCTCATGCTATATACCTATTAGGGTTTGGGGTATTTTCTCTTCAGCCTGCTGTTCTAACCACCAAGTCTCACTGTTTGCTGTATGCATATTAAACTCTCACAGGTTTATGTAATATGAAAAGAGCAACTCATTGGATTTTGACTCAATACATTTATTTACCTCATCATTTACCAGAAGCCCCCTAGACTTGCCAAACCTATTATTTTTTTACCTTCTCAACTTCAGATTTAGCTGCCTCTTTGCTGATAGAAATAATTTAATTCTAAATTAAGAGGCATGAATAACAAGTCTCGTATTTTATTGTACTTTTTGTACTTCTTTGCGTCTTTGTATTTTTTCTTTGCTCACTCAATGAAAAAATAGTTT